CACACACACACACACACACACACACACACACACACACACACACACACACACACACACACATTCATCATCCCTCAGATGCTGAACGATCCCCGTTCGTGAGGAAGCATACTGCACGCGGAAATGATTGTGGTGGCGGATTTATAGTAAGACGAGCCTCATCACCCCAAAGACGATTCCACGAGCAGGAGGAAAAGGTCGGCTCGATGACAACCACAGCATCGTCTAGAGCAGAGTTGTATTGCGTTGAATGAAACATAGCGATCGAGGGGACCATCATGACCGCATCGTACACCATCGGCGCCACAATGAATCAGGCAGAATAAGTCGAATGTGAGTGCGGCATGAGCGGATTAAAGATCGAACCACCGGACCAATCCGCCATCAACCGGCAACATGTGTGATGAAAAGCCCAAGGGAAGAAACGAACGAGATCTAGAGAAGGATGCAAGCGGTCATTTACATTTACAAGATCCAATTAAGTTCAGGAAATTCTTTTACACCAATGTCCAAACGGAAGTGCTCGATTACACGAAACCACCTGCTCCTGATGAAGACGTCGTCAGCGCAGAAAGAATGCTTTGATATGAAAAGCCACCGATTAACGAACGGGAAGATCGACCGATCGAACACTAGAAACCGATCGAACAATAGAAACGAGCGATAAGGTGTTAGCGGCGTCCTTGTGATCAATCACAGGGGACAAAAATGAAGGTGGGGAAGAGAGACGGACAGGAGAGGAGAGTAACAACAACAAGTCAGAGGACACAAAAACAAAAAAAAGCACAGAGAGTGTAGCAACCGCCTCAAAAGCGCACAGCAAACGGGGGAAGAGGAAGAGGAGGGGGGGGAGGGGGGGGATTGCAAAAAGAGCATCAAACACAGGAGGAAGAATCAGGTCATACGGACTTCACCTCAAAATCGACCCTAAACCCTCCCAACCTGCGAGGTCTTCGGCCCGCCCGCATTAAGCTTCCTAACCCCACCCACTACTACCGTAGTTGGGGCATATGCACACAGTACTACCGGTATTGTTTCCTGAAATATGAGCGAATCTGCACGTAAAATTGCGGCCAGGTGCATCTAGGGAAGTCCTAGCGTGAGTATGCCCTCACCTCTACCAAACCAACTTTGAAGTCCTTTATAGTCTGAACAGCCGCTGGAACCGCGGTTTCAGGGGAACCGGTATTGTTTCCTGAAATATGAACGAATCTGCACGCCAAATGGCGGACAGGTGCACCTGGGATGGGAAAGTCCTGGAGTGAGTATGCCCTCACCTCTACCAAACCAACTTCGAAGTCCTTTAAGTCTGAACGGCCGCTGGAATCACGATTTCAGGGGAATCTCTGGAGGTGCCTCTGTGTAGACCGAAGGCCACTACTCCACAAATACCAGATCCGTCAACGACAAATATAACGAAAAGGTAGAAGAAACGAGAAAAGAGCGAGAAGAGAGCCTCAGAGCAGAAAACCACCTTCGCCTGCGACTATGCAGCTCATAAAAATCACACCTTGCTCGCAAATCTATCCTTGTCTTACTCTTGCAGCGCTCCATATGTGACAGTACGCAACCCCTTCCCCCCCCCCATCCTCTCCCCTGCCATCTGAGCATATTCCCTCAGATAGAACGAAACTACGGGAGACGCACACAAAGGCCTGAAGAGGGTGGGCAGGAGAGGGAGAGGGAGAGGGAGAGGGAGATTACTCTTGATCGAGAGAGATTCATAGCAACGGATGTGGATTACTGGCCCTTGGTTTTCCTCAACTCGTCTCAATGAACCTACAAATCAGCAAGCCTCCTTGACCTCAATTCGATTGCCCCCCTCCGTGGCTATAATTAGATTGGCATTTCCGTGCCTAAAATTAGTTCGTGGCAAAGACCTTTTCAATTGATTTAACGCTGCTACCGTCACCGGTAGCACCACTTCCTCTCATCTGACTATCGCCAATGCCCTCACTTACCGATGTTTTCTCATAATCCGACTAATGCCCCCCCTCTTCCTTACTCTGCCCAGGGCCGCGTGTAGAAGATTCGCACGGCAGAACGCGAGAAGCTGTACGCAGCGTCCCGACAGCCTCTTTGCCTTTCGTGCTTCGCCGCGCATTCCGTTCACCGAGATCCCGGTCTCTTATCCCGACCACAAATCGCCCGTGCGCAGCCAGACCAGACCACCCATCTCCCTCGCTTCGGCCTGTCGCGATCCGGACGTGCTCACTAAGAAATCGGCTGCGCCACGTACAGATCAACGCCCAACGCTTGGGGATGATCCTCGTTGCCACGTGGCTCCTTCAACCGTGCGATGCGACCCTCCTTCCTTCCTCCTCCTCCTCCTCCTCCTCCTCCTCCTCCTCCTCCTCCTCCCCGTCCTCATACTTACCGACTCACTCCACCCTTCTCCCAACAGCCTCTGGGCTGGATCGAGCAGACTGTCATTCTGCAGGCTCTTCGCCGCCGACAGCAGCGCCGCTCTACCCGTCTTCCCCCGAATAGAACGCCCGGTGGTCATTAAGGCTGTATTTGTAGCAGCTGTCAGGCCAGATGCTGCGATAATGACCGGGCGTTCTATTCAGGTGAAGACGGGTACAGACAGATCTACCCTGACCAAAGCTTGTTCCTTTTCGACGCACCTGATGACGCGTCACAGACAGGGGCCTTGCAGCATAGCACAGGAAACGGAAAACGAAACGAGTGCATCTTCCGCCAGAAAATGGAATGATTCATCCATTTACTCCAATAAAACATAGTAAGGAAAAATACATTCTGCCCCACTTCTGTGGCCAGATGTACTCGATTCTTTTCTCGTTTCGGCGCCGTGCCGCGAGGCCAACAGGCAGCACACCATAACGGTCATATCATTGACAAGTATCCCACAGTCTGTGCTCTCATCTCTCCCCTATGCCATCGGTCTCTCACCTATGCCGTCAAACAGGGGCATAGATGGCATGCTCGGTGATCCGAACATCGAGGCGGCGGCAGCATATCGTCTCGTGGGGTCGTGGGGGCAAGCCCACCATCTTCTTGAATAGCAGAGAGCATTCGCCCCCTTGCGGCAACTTATGCCACGTGGCAATTTCTGGTGGATTACAGAGAGACACATTCGCTGCGCTGGTCTTCCAAAAGCTGGTCGGTGGACTGGGCTACGCGCTTCGCTTCCATGACCGGTGTGAAATCGCGATCCCGTCTGCCACGTGGATCTCCTGCGCAATCTACAAAACAGCTTGATCAGCCCGTCTGCCACGTGAAATCGCGATCCCGTCCGCCACGTAAAGGTGCGAGGTCGAAGTAGGCGGCTGCTCTGCAGTCATCGCATGAAGACGCTCTGTAGTCCCCTGTGGACAGCCTATACGTTAAGACAAAGGGCAGCCAGCAGCTAAAGAACATAACACGTGGGGAACTACTAAGACCCACTGAGATGTCAAGGACAAAAAACAACATAAAAACAATCCGCTGGGATGTTGATTACCCAAGCCGCCGTTGCCCGACACGTGTCCGCCGAGAAGGTTCTCATTGTCAGGACTGTGGCATCACGAATCCGAGGGGAGAACGGAGCAGCTACTCCCAAAGGCGGACAAACAGCACCCACGTACGTACACATCAGATACTGAACCCTCTTCTCCCAGGCCCAACTGGAGCGAGTGTGGAACGATCCGTCAGGTTTCGTTCCCCAAGCGTCTGTCTACCTTTTCTTATACGGCTGTTCCTCTTCTCCCATGCAATTGGCCACAAGAGGGGTCGCGTCATCAGCCACCTCAGAAGCACAAAGCATACCCCTTAGAAGCACAAACCATACCCCCTTAGAAGCACAAATCATACCCCCTTAGAAGCACAAATCATACCCCCT